CTCTCCCAAAACCAAAGGACATCCCAAAACCAAATGACATCCCAAAACCAAAGGACATCCCAAACCAACCCATCCTGTCCCACCAGCAAGGCCAAGCTCCCAACAGAAGCATCCCTCCAAACACAACAAGGGGACAGCCTTGAGTGCCCGTGTCACTGGGGACAACCCCATGTGCCCATGGGGACAGCCCCGTGTGCCCGTGTCACCGCTGCTTTGCCCAGCCCATCTCCAAATCCGCTGCCTTGGTTCTTCCTTTGGCGGTCACTCAAGCGGGCACAGTCGTTATTAGGCAGATAATCACTTCCTTGAAATAATTCCAGCACTCAGCTCTAATAAAAAAGGTTTCTTAGCAAGGACTCTTGGTGAAAGGGGCTCAGCACTGCTCCCTGCACGGTGTGGGTCAATTGGGTTCTGCTCCGTCCTCTCTCCAGCCCAACAATTGCCTTTCACCCACTGAAGAGAGGCCCAGGACACCCATCCAGGGCCAGCCTTGAACACTCACCTTAATAAAAGCTTGACATCTGAAATTCTGCTGCTTTACCCCTGCCCTAGGAAGGACTTGGTCAAGATCCTGGAAAATTAATGTTGTAGTGGTTAAAACCCATCCCCTGGCAGGGAAGGCCAAGGGAAGGTGGCAAACACCTCAGTGCCAGAGGCTCCTTCAGGGTGGTGGTGATGGAACCACATGGGAAGCGTTGCTTCCCGCTGGGATGTGCCAGCCTCTCTGCAGAACTGGGCCATGGCTGTGCCACCCACACCCATGGGATCCTGGCAGAGGTGCCAGGGAGAGGCCATCCAGCTGGGAGACTGGGCAGCACCAGGAGTCCCCAGGTTGTACCCAACCTATGGGCTCTGACAGACCCTGCACTCCTCCAAGGTGATTTAAACCCTCATCCAGCTGCAGATGCTTTCCTCCGAGCATTTGGGACCTCTGGCAGCTTGAGGAAACAGTCATTTTCCTTTTATATTCAAATAAACAAACCAAGTGTTTCAGCTCCTGTTCAAAGGACCTAGTTTCACACACAGAGACACCTGAGATAAGGAGAAATTCGGTGTCTCTACCCCGAAGTGAATTGACACAGACACCCAGGCAGGGGTGGATCCAGCACCGCAGATTCTCTCCACGGCTGCCCAGCCAGGCTCTGGGTGCAGCCCTCCAGCAGCCCCCTTCCCAACACACCAGCAGGCTGGAGGGCTTCAAACAGGTTTGGGAACTTGGTTTGTTCACCATGAAGCCAGCTCCATGCGGCCTGCTGTGCAATGCCAGCCATTCCCAGGTGGATTTTGGGGTGAGGAGCCCGTGGCTGCCGGCACGCGGCGCACGGGGCTCTCGTGGCCCGCCGGGCACCAGGGGTGCGTGGGAGATGCTCACGTGTGTGAAGCATCTTCTCAGGCTCACGCTTGCTGTGAAAAAGGAAATAAAAAGAGCCTCCCCCCCTCCAGCTGCCTTCGGCATCTCCTTTCTAATAACTTGGCATATTCACTTAATACAGGCCAGCTCCTTCCAAGTCGTTAGCGGCGGCGGGAGACACAGCCGGAACGCTGACCTGGTTTGCTTGCCAAGACAGAGCAAAGAGAAACCTTCACATAATCATTTCCAAACATTAAAATGGCTCCATTGTCATTATAGCTGAGAGATTGAATTCGCCTCATCAAAGCGGCGTATGACAGGTGACTCAATAGGCTGGTGCCAAGCGCGGAGGCAGGAGATTAGCAGGGCACTGATATCATTATTTCCGCCTATCACAGATTCGGCAGGGAGGCAATTGTAATTTCTGGGCTTATTAGTCTGCATTCGCAGGAAAAAACCTGGTGATAAACCTCAGTGTGACAGCCAGGCATTTGTGCAGCAAGTGCTGTCACAGTGACACTTGGAAAATGCCAATGTGGATACGTTCTCCTAATCCCCCCTAATGGAGGTTAAAGCCTGGCACAAAGGCACTCTTATCACTGATCGGGACACTAATAACATTTGCATTTTTAAGTTAAATATAGTAAGTAAAGAGTAAGTCTCCTCCTCGCGGCTTCGGCAATTAACTCGGCCTCGGAAGGATGAGAGCCGAGCAGAGATTCCAGCCAGGAGTGCTCTCTCCCATTCCCAGAGCTCCCACCTCCACTCTGGGTGGGTCAGCATTCCCAGAGCTCCCACCTCCAACTCTGGGTGGGTCAGCATTCCCAGAGCTCCGACCTCCACCCTCTGTGCTCTCCTTATCCCAGGATGGGACCTGGCAAAGCAAGGGAATGCTGGCTGGTGGAGGCTGGGCTGGACCAGGGCTGCACTTTCCCCCAGCAGAGGAGATCCTTCCCGTGCTTTCACACACTTTTACAAGTGGTTTTGCTTCAGATGGACTCCTACAAAACTCTCAGGGTTTGTTTCCTGCCCCACGGTGCCAGCTGGGCTTGGGGCTCCTGTGGGAATTCCTCCCGGACACGAGCCCGGCACGTGTGCCACGGGCGTGCACACACACGCTCTCCACAGGAATTTCTTAAGGAAAAGAATAATTACAGGTGGTAAACTGTTACTTTTCCACATTTAAATAAGAGACCAATTAAGAAGACTATGTAATTCAATTCTGGAGTGAGTGCCACTGAATTCAATTTGTTTCAGGTCAATGAATATAATGTGAAGTTATTAACAAAAAGGTCAGGGACTGCATATAAAATATACACACATGACACAGGCAGAGTAATTAGTACACATTTCACATGTTCTGCTGCTCAGACATATGGTGTAGAAAACCTGAGCGGGATTAGATGGTAATAAATGTTCCCCTCTCCCTCCCACCAGCTCCCTATTTAAACAGGGTTTATGGCTGTTTCCCCGGTGTTCCTGGGATCTGCCCGAGGCTGAGCACCCACAGCCCACACAGCAGCCACACCTTTGTGGCACCCTCACCAAAAATCACTCTGTTTTTCCCTGCCTGTTTGCTACAGGTGCACACTCAATGTGAAGTTACTGCATTAATGATCATAAAACAGTCAAATTAAACAGTTAAGCAGTGGTGGAATTTGAAAAAGTCCACAGCACACATTAAAAAAAAAAAAAAAAAAGAGGATAATAAAGTCCAAAACATCTTTCTGACCCTGAGATTGAGTATTGGACACCTGGATTCTCTTGCAGGTAAAGATGAACTTTCATAAGGGAGGAACACAACTTGGGGAAAAATCCTCTGAAAGTAACAGGAAGAAATCCCAAGGTATGAGAACTCTGCCTAGAGGTGCTCTGGTGTCCAGTCAAACCTGCTAGGGATTCTCTGCTGGTAAAGGATAACCCAGATGTTATGGTTTGTTTGCTCCAGCATTTTCCTTGGCATCTTGTGTTCAGAATGAGATACACAACCCATTTCCCAATTATGCTTTACGTCCAGTGTGGCCTGATGTGCTAAGGAAATGAAGTAGTTTGTGTATATTGATTAATAATTGCCATTTACTACTGAACCTGGGAGCAGAATCCTCAGCTGGAGGTATTTATTTTACCCATCATTCCTGTCTGGGTTTTGTACAGCTGGCTGCAGAAATCAACAGGAAAAGCAGGAAGTGGAGAGCTCCAGGAATGGTAGGGACAGCCCTGGATCCACCCACGTTTAGGATTTGTCCGCAAAGAGGGAACTGTGGAGCAATATTGGCTCGTACAGCTTCAGGGGAGAATTACACCTGAGATGGGTGTGTTAATTCATGTTGCATTGGCCAGGTATTCCAGGCAGGATCCCATCTCCAGAGCAAGCAGCAGGATTCTCTGGGTTTGCTCTGAGGTTAGTGCTCACAGGACAGCCTGTCCTTAAATCAGGGAGAGGGGTCTTGTGAGGTTTGGCCACAGCTCAGCCCTCATCCCATTCCTCCCTGCAGCAGCCCCTTGGGAACATCCCATGGGGATCCCATTCCATGGGATGGGGCTGCAATCAGCAGCAATCCCAGGCACAGCAGCAGCCACCTGGATTCCCCACAGGTGGCACCTCCCAGGCACAGCACAACCTCCCTGGGCTGTTGGGACAAGGTCTGATCAGTGCTGCCCAAACTGGCCGATTTCTCCCCACTTCCCAAAATCCAGCATCCCATATTCATCCACAAGAAGAGGAGTGAATAGGTTGCTGAATATACCATATGGAGATGCCAAAAAAGGCAAACAGCAAACAAACAAGAGAAATTAATTAAGAAGTCATTCCTTCCTAACCGGTTTGCTCTCCCCCTGATTCCCTGGTCATTAAAAGCACTAAAGCAATTTAGTAAAAAAATTAACAAAATTTTACTGTCTGGCCTAGTTGGAAGAGAACCAAATAAAAAGCAGGGAAATACCTACACAAAGCCTTTGTTTTATCTTTTCCCCCCCCTTCCTTCTGAATCTTCTGTTCCCCTACCCTAAAACCCCACAGCGCCATTCCCCAAACCTCCCCATGACCGCAGTGCTTCCCAGCAATGCTGCCACCCCTCTCCACGCCCCAGGCTGGGATTTTTGTGGACACCCCAGGGATGTGCCCGGCGTTTTCCCATTGCCGGGGGTGGGAGCAGACCTCCCAGGCTCGGGCCACCGCGGGGGCCACGCGCGTTGGGGACAGGAGGGGACAGGAGGGGACAGCGCGCTGCCGCCCGCGGGGTCGGCGCCCCCGGCCCCGGCGCCTCTCAGCGCCGCCGCTCCCCGGCGCTCTCATTAACTGAGGATTGCGAATGGGTCAGCAGATCTATACACTCCTGTGTTCCCCGGCCTGCTTTATTTATTTCTTTCTCTTTGCAGGATGCTGAATAACTAACCTTTCCCTCAATAGGCAGATTTGAAAAAAAAATAAGATCCATCGCACAGCAGCAGGATAGCCTTGCTCTGTTTTGACCTTTCTGAAATTAATTTCCCAATCTTAGCTTTCAAAATCAGAGATTGAAAAGACCTATTAGATCAGCCAATCCATCTTATCACTAGCACGGCAGCAAGGAGAGACCCCAGCCAAGTGCTTCTCTATGCAGGGAAAATATTCTGGAATAAGACGGGGCATGAATTTAAAGTGAAATACCTGTTCTGGAATATTCTGCACGTGGACACGTACTCTGGAATAACTGCAGCTGATCCTGGCTCTGCTCAGTTGACACCTGGAGCTGCCCACTGGAACAGAGGGGAGAAAAAAAATCCTATTTTAGGGTAAGAAGTAATTTCTGTGGGGTGGATCTGGGAAATAATTCTCCCCCTCTGACCCTTTTTTCCCAGGCAGGCTGTTGCTCACAGGGCAGCACCACCAGGGAGGAGAGGGATGGGTGCTCAAGGAAATTCTGCCCTGACCTGCAAGGGTGTGGATCAGGACACAAAATTCTGGTCTGCAGCTACTCCAGGAGCCTGGGGTGTTAACAGGCACCTCTCCCAACCTGCAGTGTAGCTCCTTTTCTGAGAACACTGCTCTTCTCAGTGGGGCCCTGCTTTTCCAGACATTTGGAGTAAAACCCCAAATTTTATTGTTTGCTGCCCTGGCCAGCGCTGCCAGCCCATGGTGGGGGTGCCCAGGAAGGCCCCTTGGTGAAGAGAGTGCTCCTGCTCCCTCTCCTCCTATTCCCCTTGGAATCCCTGGGGCTCTGAAGGCTGTGTGGATCAGGTGGGAACAGGTCACCACCCTGTGCGGACCTTGGTGTCCACCTCCACCCTGCCCCTCAGTGCCCAGCAATGCCTGGCAGGCTTGGACATCTCCAGTGTGGCATTCCCGGGGCTCTTGGGGATGTCTGCGGGGTTTGGATGCGCAGGGCAGCACTGAGGGGAATCCTGCTTCTCAAAAATGAAGCAGGCCTTGCAGCGGGTCTGGTCACACCAACCTGCCCCAGGTGGCTCAGGGAGGTGGCTCCAGCAGCACATGGAGCCCAGGTGTGGCCTGTCCCCCCTGGAGTGACTCCACTGTCACACAGGGATGGGGGAAGCTGCTGGTGATGCCAAACAGAGCCGTGGCTGTCACGGATATCGGTGCTGGGAGACAGGAGAATGCATTCCAGGTGTGTGGGAAGCAGCTTCCCCCCATGAAACGTGATGGGAAGGAAACCCTGCCGACACCTGCAGCGAGCGTGTGCGCCGAGGAGCTGGGAGCTAACACCAGCAGGTGCCTGGCAGCTTAAAGCCTTGCTACATTTCCTATCAGCGCTGTGGTTCGGTGAACAGCTCCGAGTCTTTTCCCATGGAAACCCCTCTGTTCTGCCTGGGCAGCTCTTGCTCTGTGCACCCAGCACGCCCTGCTCGGGGAGCACCGAGAGCACACAGCGAACTCTGGGCACTCAACAAGTCCTCTCCGCACACACTCAGGGCCAAAAGATCAATATTGACACTTTAGATGATTTCTCTCGATTTGTTTTTTCTTCAATTGTTGGGGCAAAGTTCCACTTTTCCAATATCTTGGGTTCTCAGCTAATAGAAACAAATAAAGTGAAAGCTTCTGTCCACAATGGGTGAGGAGCATCCATTGTCAGCGGGCGCTAATCGGATTAAATTGGCTCCTGGCTCTATTGCTCGGGGATAACTCACTCCTAAATTTTTTCCCATCTCAAGGGGATGGGCCATTGTTGCTTTTTCCCCCCCTTTTTTTTCCTATTTAAATGTGACAGATAGAATGAGGAGCGGCTGGAGCTGACGGGAACAAAGAGCGGAGCCCAGCCCGGGGCTGTGCCTGGTGCCGGCCCCCCAAGGCCCTTCTCCTGTTCGGGCATCTCTGCCCTCTGGAAACCGCATTTAAAGCCTGGATGCGGCTAGGCAGGGAAAAACCTGCGGCTGTCCACGCTCAGGTGGCTCCCCATTATCATTTTAATCCTGGCACAGCCCCTTGGAAGGAGCAGCAGCAGCAGCAGCCACGTTCCAGCGAGCAGCCCGAAGAGAAGAGAGACACGGCCTTAAATAATGCCACCTTCGCAGGGAGGCCCCGCCAGCCGCCAGCCACATCTTTGCCCGGAGTCTGATAATTTTCAAAGCTATTGGCAACCTGGGAATTTTCCTGCCTTATCACCAGGGCTCAGCTAACTTCACTAACACTAATCAGAGCTGGAATCATTCATTCAAGGATTGCATGATCATGTTTTTCTTTAGCGGTGACAGCTGCCTGAGCCGCATTAGCAATGCAGATGAGTCAGCCTAATAGGTTAATGCAGAACACGCGAAAATTAGGTTTAATCCCCAGTGAAATAATCTAACATTTTCACATTTCTTGATGTTGGGATAGAGACATTGGTGGTGACTCAATTAGGTGTAATGTAGATCAAAGCAAATTTACCTTCTGGCTGAACCTTCCCCGTAGTTTAGATAGAAGAATATAAGGGTTCTTTGCTAATTGGCCAATGGCTGTGGGGAGAATTGTAGGGAAAGGGAATCACGCTGCAGATCGGGGTCTGGAGCAGGACATGGCTCCAACACCAGGCACAGCGAGCAGCCCCTGCTCTTCTCCATGCAGCCTCACAAATGAAGACGTCTGGGGGCTTTTCTGCAGTTTTATTTTACTCCCCCATTCGTTTTTAATGTCCCGTGCCGCAATATCCCCGGCGAGGTTTGAAAGACCTTGTGCGATAAAAGGAGCGTATAAAGGAGAGGAAGGACCCCACCCCGTGTAATGTTTCCATTCCCGGGGAATAACATATCAAACAGCAATCGCTTCCAGTCGTAAAGGGAGGGGAACAAAAAATTACATGCCCTCAGTTGCCAAATTATTTTTTTGCCTTGACATCTTAATTCTTAATCCTTGTGTGTGGTCAAATCAGCCTACTATAGACAACCAATCAAGCAATTATTCCTAAATTATATTTGCCCAGCTCACATTGATTGGTTATTCTTTTCTTATTGGGTAAGCTCATTAATTCCGAGCAGCTTGCTTATTATGCTTTCCACATCATTTTCCCTCGGAGCCTATCTACTCACACCAGCCTGCTGATGTTTCAAGATGCCACGCAGAAAAAAAAGGCCGAGTGATCTATTGCATTGTCTCTTCCAGCAATTACAATTCACATTGCTGATTAACTTTGATGTGAAAACTAATGAGATAAGGCAAGTTATCAAGGCGGACCTGATCGTCATCTCATTTATAGAGCATTTGCCATCAGTGAATGACAAAAACTAATGAAGATGTATCTGACAGCAGGCTGAGCCGCGGCCGAATTTCGTTTCTCATCAGCGAGTGCTCTGCTTCGAACTCATCAGTCTATCTGAAACATGTGGAAATTAGCTTAATAATGAAAACACTTCATCCAAATAGACAAATGTTTACATTAAAACAGCTACGTGATAAATAGATGTTAAAGATTTTATGCCTTCTTGAGTCTAAACAATGGAGCACAAAATATGTTCTCATATTCACTAAATCATGCCCATAAAAGCTCCTTCCCTCCCCACGTGCCGCCGCCGTACCTGCAGCGGGCTCCCCTCCCTGTGGCTCACCGAGATTCCTGGGCTGCGGCTGGAATCGCTCGGGCTCTAACTCAGGGATGGATGCCCGTGTTGGATGCCAGGGGGCCTGGCCCTGCCCACACCTGGGGCACACGGCTCCCAAAAGCAGCTTTTTTAGTGTTTTTTTTAACTTAGAGATGCTGACATTTACCCAAGGTGGAAAAGAGACCCGGTTGGCCCCCTCTGTACTTTACAGAGTGTAAAGCACGGGCATAATTCATGTAAATACAGCAGCGTTCCTCTCCTGAGCCGTCACCAAAAAGCCGCCTGCGGTATCAGCCCAGTTTAGAAATGTTGTGATAAAAGAGAGGCAAGGCAGAGCTGCTCCCATTTTTAATATTGTGGCTTTGGTATCTTTATTTATGAGAGACTATTTCATATTTGTCGGGCACTATTTCACACGCTGCTGCTACGTCCAAACGTGTCCCCGAGACGTTTTTGCATCTGGAATAAAATATTCGTCCACAACGCTGGTATCAGAACAACGCTATTTTTAATAAAAAAGACAGGCATCTGCAAGGCAGAAGGGTGAAACTCTCGCTTTGAAAATGATTCTAAAAATTGCGATACTTCAATTAAAATAAAGAATGGGTAAAAGATTCTGTTCCTTTAATATGGTATTTCCCTCTCCCTGAAAAATCTATATGGACAGGCTATGAAGCATTGCCTCCTTTAGGAAAAAAACAAACCCAAGCACGTTATCCCCAATGTAAGGGGAACTTTAAATTTGATTTTAAAAAAACGGTTATCCAAGCGGATTGGGAAAAAAAAATCTAAAAAAAGAACTAAAAAAAGAGAGAGCTTTTGCAGAAAAGGCAGAGGAGCTGCTATAAATTCCGGGCAGCGGTGGCTCCGTGGAAAAGCCAGAGGGTCGCGGTGTCCCCAGCGCGTTCCCTGCGCCCCGCACTCACCGCATCCCCGGCTCGGCCCCGCTCGGGCTGCCCTGCCCGGGCATTGTGCGGCTCAGATCAGCCCGCACAAAGGGCCCGCATCCCGGCCAAGTTAAAAGAAAAGCCTGCTAGGAAGCGCCGGCGACAAATTACTACTTCAGCGCTGGATTAAATGTAAAAGCCCTTCACAGAGCCGCAGATAAATCCTGCGCGCTAGAAGGAACCATAAAAGTACTCGTTCAAGAGCTGCAGGCACAAGTGGAAAATTGACCCCAAAGATTTTTTTTTTTTAAGTAGACGAAGTTTATAAAATTTCTGCGGCCGCCGCAGGGAGAGGGTCGCGGCAGTGCAGCGCTCCCGGGCACCGGAGCTGGACACGTCCGCGGCCACCGGAGCGAGCATTCCGCGAAACCCCGGCAAGGTTTGCTTGGTGCCTCGGAGGGCTTTTGCTTTGCGCGTCTCTTGTTTGTTTGGTTTGCGATTTGTCGGGGTTTTTGGTCGGGTTTTGTTTGTTTGGTTTGTTTCTTTTATTCCCCTTTTTCCCTCCTTTCTTTTAGCCAGCTAATGAAGCAGAATGGTTTCGCTTTCACCACCCGCGCACGGAGTGGGAAAGCACTAAAGCACTGCTCCCATCCTCATTTCCCTTTTTCCCTACATCCTTCCCAATCCTGCCGTGAGACCCCCGCATCCCGCGGGATGATCCGGGCGCCGCAGCCGCGTCCCTCCAGTACCCAACACCACCGAACGTGTCACCCGGGCATGGTTTATCCCTCCGGCTGCACAGCCATCGTTTGACATCTCTCAGGTGCCATCCTGGGCACGGCCTGGCCCTGCTGGCTGCCCGGGTGTTCATCTCCATCCGTGTGTCCGTCCGGGGAGACAGACACGGATGCTGCTCCTCCCTCCCCCTCCCCGGCCTTCATCCCGGCCGCCTATTTTAATAAATAATTACAGGCAGCTAAAGGATTTGTTCATTCCAAAAGGTCTCCCCTTCACATTTCTCGGAGGTTCAGCTCAAGGAGACACCATGATAATAAGGCTGACTCGGGATCCCTACTCCACAATGTCATTATGAGCTACCATTTAAAATGGAAAAAAAAAAAAGTGTGTATATTATACCTAAAAGCATTACAAGGTTAGTGTCTCAGCTTGGGGAATATTTAATGCTGCTGGGAAAGCAGCTCTGCTGCTCTGAGGAGGAGGAAAAGGGAGAAAAAAAACACAACGAGAGAAAAATCCTTTCTGATACACAAGCCTAGAAAAAAGATGTTGGGAGTGAGCAGGGAGATCATTTGCATTTCCAATGACTGGGACTAATCCTCCGCTACCACATTTATATTTTCTTATTACTTTTCCTAATTGTCTTTTTTTTTTCTCTTTTTTTTGCTTGCAGCTTTTCCTCCCGTGTCTCTGTTCCCAGCTCCCGTTATTGTCTGGCTCGGGCTGGATCACCCAGAGCTGCTGATGGCCCCTCCACACTGCCCAGGCCCCACAGCTGGGAAAACCTGGGTGCCTCTCACACACACAGAGCCTGGATGATGCTCCGAGGAGCTTGGCTCTCTTAGGGATTGCTAAGAAACATTTCTGGGGGCAAGGAAGGGTTTTTGTCTGGTGCCCGGGGCATGGCGCAGGCAGAGAGCAGCCCCAGCAGTGTCCCACCCTGGCATGGGCACCTCAGGAACCAGCCAAGCCCTGTCACCTCCCAAAAGCCACCTTGGGCTGGCAGGGAGTGGAGAACAGACCAGCCTGAACCCCTCAGCAGACAGACAGCACCCACCCAGGGTGTTCCCAAAATCCCAGGTTCCCTGGGCAGGGAGCGTGGTGTAATCCCCAAACCCTGCTCCAGAGGCTCTCAGCTCCGAGCACTGCCTGAAACTGGGGCTGTGCCTCACCCCCAGCTCACAGCTTCTGTCTCTGCTGAGGAAATTACACAACCAAATGCCTGCTCGAGACCAGCCACTAAACCGCTCCCATAGTATTATCCTAAAATTTGCTAATAGTGGCTCTTTCACATAAATTAAGTGATAATGAAAAAAAGCCTCCCTTTGAATTTATATATATTTCAGCAGAGAATAATGTTTTATTTAAAATAGTTACAGCGTGCCTTTTGATTTGGAGTTTAAAGTAAATAATATTTGTACATCTAAAACATACTCAAGACAAATGAAAAGCCTCTAGATGCTTTTGTATGAGATGCTGAAGAGCTCTACAAACTTAAAAGCACAACCTCAATTAAGCCCATCTTCATCTGGAAAAAAATTAGCAACTGAAAGCTGAATATATTAGATAATGCACACTTGCAGGAGAGCATTCTCTTAGCAAAAAATTCTTGATAACCAACCTAAAGCTGGCCTTCGAGTTGCTCGATGCTAATTTTGTTTGAAACTGTTTAACTAACTCTGAATAGATATCCATATTCAACAAAGACATAATTAATGGCAACCTTTTCTTCTGCTTAGAAGACATCATAACAAGCAGAAAAGTACAAAAAGATTTTTATAGTAACTAATTTAAGGACAAAGGGTTGACCTCTAGCATTTCATTAAATAAATGGAGCGAATGAAAGAAGAGTGACAGTATTCATCCTTGTTCAATTCAAGCAGCCAATTTCAAAATGCAAATCATAATCTGCAGATGTTGGAGCCTGATATATTTTTTTAAAATATCATTTGTTCAATTTAAGAACATCAGACATTTGAATTTTAAATTATTAAAAAAAAAAAAAAACAACAAAAAAACCAAACCAAACCAATTCCCAGCTCCAGGTTTAGGCGCAGCGTGACTGCGCGCTCGGAGCCGGGGTCTGCTGCCGGGGCTCTCCTCCCTCCCCACCTCCCCAGCCATTCATTTTAGACATTATTCTCAAAACCTTTTAATGGAGAAGTTCTGCTAAGCTACACATTATTCCTGATTAGCAGAGCTGGCCGGTGTTGCTGCCTCTGCAGCCCGGGGATGGCCGAGAGCAGCTCCGCGTGCAGCCCGGCCAGCGGCTCCATCCCCACCTGTGGGCACCCTGCTCCCAGCGGCCCAGGGGGATGGATCCTCCCTGCATGTGCTCCCATGGCACAGGGACAAGTGTCCTGGCTCTGGTCCCCATGGGTGCCAGAGCTCCAGGAGGTGACCAGAGCACAGGTGGGGACAACAATGGGCGGTGCGCTGACTCTGAATTTGGGAACACAACACCAAACCTCCAGAGCTGGGTTTTCTTCCAGGTGCCAAGGTGGGAAAGGAGGAGATTTTGGCTGGACCATGGATGATCTGCAGTCCTTTAGGAGGGGAGGGATGGAGTCTCAGTGTCTCACACCTGTTCCACAGGGCTCTGGGGAAGTCAGACATGAGCAAAGGCACAGGGGGAGCCTGGGGGAGCAGCTCCAGACCAGAGGGTTTCACACACTGTGCTGAGTACAGATCCACAGGTCCATGGAGAGCTTCCTTTCTCATTCCCTTCAATCCCCTCATTCCCTTCAATCACCTTTCTCCCCCGAGCTCAGTAGTGACATTAAGGGACACTTTTAATGTGCCCAAGGGGACCAAAGGATCCGTGGCCATGCCTGACACAACGGCAGCACAAATTCGTCCCTTCTCCTTTCTACACCAGCTCCCACAGCAGTTTCCAGATTTGCAGGGATAAAATAGAGCTGGTACTGCTGAGCCTGGACACCTGTGGGGTTTGGTTTCTCCCAGGAAATGGCTTTAGGGTGTTTGGAAGTGTTTTTCGAGAAGCACGAGATTTTAACATTTATTTTGGCCATTGAGACACACAGAAGTTTCTGGCCTCACTGAACTGGGCACAGTGCACCAACACTGACATCTCCTCAGCGAGAGCAATTCCCTTCCTTCCTTCCTTAATAAATGGAAAAGATCCCACATTCCCACCAAAGGGCCCCTAGCTACTGCTAAGTTACAGTGAAGCACAACCTCTGCAGAGGCATGTATATTAATTAAATTGCTGCTGATTAGGACCCATCAGAGTGCGCGGAGAGGGACTGAAATAAACACCCAGGAGCATCCCTGGGGAAAGGAAAGGAGAGCAAAAGTGCTGTGTTGTGGCCTCACCCTGAGCAGAGCAGGGCCATTTCTGAGAGCAGTTTTGTCCCTTCCCAAAGGCCACGAGCCCATCCTGGCCCCACTGGAGCTGGGCACGGGCAGGAGGAAGGGCAGGGCTTTGCCAGCCCTCCTACACAAACAGACCCTGCAGCTGTCGCAGGGCAAAATAAATGACTTCCGGAGGTTAGGGAGAATAAATGAATCCATTCAGGCATGAGTGAAGGGGACATTGTTTTCCCCCTCGAAAAAAAAAAATCCCTCCCCAACAACCTATATATTAAGGTATCAATGAACAACAAATTCATTCAGTTATGACACAGGAAACCTAAAGCAGAATGGGCTGCAAAACAAACTCGATTTATCTGCGCCACACACGCAAGAGGAAAAAATGCCTCTTGTTGGCTGCTCTACCAGGGCTAGGGCTCCTCTCGAGGATTCCAGCCACACACAGAGTGTTTTCTGCCACTGCCTTAGCTGTGGGTGCGAACTTCTGAGATTAAGATTGTTCCCTTAGGTTTATCCTCTTCAGGGACAACGTGTGCACAATACGCCTTTGGAACGCATTTAAAGCCAGGCTGCAGATGCACATAATCTCCATCCTCCTGCACCACAAACAGGAGATGTGGAGGTTTAGTTTGTGTTTTTTTTTTTTTTTTCTCTAAAGGGAGGGGAATTACTCATTCAAAGGGAAACCGAGTTTTCACTGTGGAAACTTTCATTTTTATATTAGAAAAGAAGAGGCAAAAACTAAAAGGCTTGAGCCAGACCTGATTTCTCAAAACAAGGCAGCAGCTCCCTCCTCTCCCAGCTCTCAGCAGCAGCCCTGAGCCCACCCAGGGGACCCCATCTGCTCCACTGCATGTCTGGGCACATGCTGAGCCCGAGGGGACACCTCCAACCTCCAGAAGGACAGAGGGACAGTGCCTGTCCTACCCTTGGCATTGCCATGGACCCGCTTCCCCGAGCCCACTCCCCTTTGCTGTCCAGCACCACAACCCCGAAACGTGGCTGAGAAACAAAGCCCATCCTCCTCTTATTTCCAAAACATTTATGCTTAGCTGTTTTCCCCGAGTAACGTTAAAAAAAAAAAAACTCTTAAAAACAGAGTGCAGCGGGTCAATCCTGCTGTAGAAATGTAGAATTGGTACCCAGCTGCAAGGAGCACTCGGCGTGCAGGGGAATAATCCAAAAGGTTTTAATTAGGCAAAGCAGCAATAAATGAAGGAATATGAGCTTGGATGAGAACACTCAAACGGATAAATAACGGGGAAAGGCGGGATACGGGAAGGGGAGCTCTCGCTCCTGCCAGGGAGCCCCGAAACAAGGCAGGGCACAGACCCGGGGGCGCATTAATGCCGAGCACATCCCCGATCCCATGGGCAGAGCCAGCAGCCCAGCCCTTCCGTCAGCCGCTGGCTTCCTCCGCGTCCCGGACAGCTGCCCGTCCGTCTGTCCGGCCGCGGCTCCCTCGCTGCCCGGCTCCGGAGGGCTCCCCGACAAAGGCGCGGTGCGCCGGGGCTCCCTCCCGGCCGCTCCTTAGCGAAGCAAGTCACGCTGCCGCCACAACTGCTCCTGTGTGCCTGTTTGAACTGTCCCTCCCAATTAGCAGTAATAAGGGACTCTGTAAAGATGAGCAAACACGGCGCATTCATTAGTCCCGGCGGCCCCCGCCCTCGCTGCCGGCAGCCCCGGGAGATCCCCAGGGCACCGCTGCCGAGGATGCCGAGCGCATCCCGCCCGGCCCCAAAGGCAAATTAATGACGAGCCGCTCCGAGAGTTTGCCCGAAATTATTTTATTCTGCCCCAGAATTGATTACTCCCCGCCTGGAAATATGTCCAAATCAATACGCCGAAGCCCAGGACAAAAAAAAAGACATGCTCTAGCCCCATTTATTTATCCACTTTTTTGAGGAATGGCACATAATTTACTGGGTCGGAATTGCTAAGCCTTTCCAGAGCGAGGACTAATGACAGGCTGAAGGGAAGCAATGCCTCCCATCCATCTCCCAGGCGAGCCACGAGTCCCCACACGCTGCTGGTGATGACCTTGGCAGTGGCCAAGACGCCCACGGTGACAGAATGTGCCTGAGGCCATCATCAAGCAGGTGGATACGGATGTGAAACATGTGGGTCGAGGCAGCCACCAAAGGAAATGCTTTTAAACCTCCCCACAAGGATGAGTGGTGCCCAGGCGGGGGTCCCTGCACAGCCTGCTCCTGCCTGGCCAGCTGGAGCCAGGCTGGAGAAGCCAGTGCCTCAGGGGTGAAAGCGATGCTGAACATCCACCACAAACCCTGAAACTGTGTGGGCAACACCTGTGGCTGGGCCTCAGCACCGCCCAACAACCACCTGCCCTACCCAGAGTGTGTGGGCTCAGCTCCCCAAAGCAAATGGCATGAGGGACGCCAGGGGACAAGGACATTTTGCTGAGCCCCAGGCCTGGGGGAGGTGGCAGCAAAGGCTTCCCACTCTCCGGGTGACACGTACCTGCCAGAGTGCCCCAATTGCCAATGCTCTGCATGCTCCACGGGGCCCTGCATTTTCCAGGGCATTAAACGCTCCTATCCCCCCTGGGAAGCTCGGTGGCAGCTGTCACGCTGCTCACGGGGGGTGGCTCCTGCTGCTCACCATCAGTGTCACTCGCGAGCCGCTGGCGGGTGAAGGACGAGGTGGCCCCAGTGGCCCCAGGAGCTGCCAGCACCAGCACTGAGGGGCAGCTACAGCAGCACCTCTGCATGGACACTCACAGGGCCTCCTGTGCACTGCCACCCACGGAAAGGATGCTCCTGACTGTGTTAAAACAGGAGAACTCAAACCTTTCTGCCTGCTGTGAGCCCTTCAGGCAAACATCTGCATGTAAAACAGAGATGTGAAGCAGCAGAGCACTGCAAAAATCCAAACCCAGGGCTTGCTGGCTTCCCCTTGAGCAAATCCCTTCCTACCCAGGCTGCTCCAGACATCTCTGAGGGCATGGTGTCCCCAGGCCTGGGCAGCCTTGGGCTGGAAGAGAATTCCCCTTGGCCCGGAAGAGAATTCCCCTTGGCCCCACCTCACAGATGAGAGATGCCAGGGTGGGAGAAGGGAACCAAGGAAAGAGCAAAACACAGCGGGGTTTGCAGCACACCTTGCTGAGCCCCAGCTCAGAGGCAGGGCAGGGAGAAGAGTGGGTTTGCACCCAGAGAGCCCAGCCTGGCATTGCTGGTGAGCCCAAGGCCCCAGCCTGAGCCCATGGCCAGGGGCTGCAGGGCACAGCCCAGCTCACACCCTGCTTCAGCTGCACTTGGCTCTGCTCACAGGGGATCTTTCTAGACTGAAACACTGCTGCTCCCCCATTCAGAACGGGAACATCTGTGAAAAGGGATCATTCATAATAAACTTGTGAGGGCTGGGTAGGGGAAAAAAAAATACTCGTCCCAGCAAACAACACAGCCTTTATTTCTCAGTGTGGCCGCCTGAGCCTGCAGCACCCTGGAGGGTGGGGCGGGGAGGGCTGGGGGGCTCAGCTCATCCCCCTGCACCCCCAGGCTGCACAGCCCCTCAGGCACAGCCTGGTGCAGCAGGACAGGACAGCAGGGACACACGGCAGGGCCCCATTCCTCCACTCGCCTCCCTCCCAGCCCAACAGGCACAAATCCCCCCATGTGGCAGCAACACAAACGAGTTTTATTACTCAATAAAATATTTGGAACAAAATAAATGGTTTTGTCAAACACTACATCTCCTCAAATAATAATGATGCACCAGCTCACCGGGAAAAACAAGCGACATTCATATTCTGTGGCAAAGGTTTATTTCGCCTCCCCGAGGAGAGGGGAACGGGCATCTCAATTCGGAATTCAGACACTGTATGGGAATACAGTAACTATAGTTCTCAGAGGGTTTGTGCAAATGCCAGCAAAACAAACCCCAAATCAAATTTATTAGCTGGTGGAGATCTCTAACAATCTTACACAGTGACTGATGAAGCCATCGGGGAATTCCTTTCAACATTTAGTGATTTAAAGCCCCTACAGAAACTTCATTGTCTGCTCCAAGACAGAAAGAGTTCCTCGGTGCCCAGTGCTGCTCCGACAGCAGCACTGGGGTGGGTGACATTGCCAACGTGTGCTTTCTTTCATCTGGAAACATTTCCAGGAATCCTAACATCCTGTGGAGCACCATAAAGGGAGGAAGCACAAATGAATTAAGAACGGCAGCCTGTGTCCTGAAGGCCCTGTCTGTGGTTTGATGGCAAGGTGGGGATGTTCACTTCTGCCCCAAATGTGCTTCCAGAACCAATCTGGACATCATTCCCAGCACGGATCACCCACATCTGCTCGGCAGGGACAGGGCAGAGCTGCAGGTTTTGGACACAGCCAGCTCCCTCCAGAACAGGGCTGGCTGTGCCTCAGCGGATCAGAGCTGCTCTCTGGGAAAGCACCAGGACTGGGAAAGCACCAGGCTCCCACTCCAGGTGAGGCAATGCCCTTCCTGAGGATGCCTGAGGGAAGGAAGGCGAAGGTGAAGGCACAGCTCTGCCCCCAGAGCACCCACACCAGGCCAGCTCCCACAGAACTGCTTTTGAAAGCAAACCCAGAAATGCACAGCTCTAATTGCCAGGTTTTTTGTCATGCACGCTCATCACTGGGTCATTTGCATTTTAGCTGCTAAAATATCAAGGGGATGTTACTTAATCAATCACTGCAGCTCACAAAGTCCTAAGTGAGAGAATATTTTTTGATTGTCTCTGCTTGTATCTAAACATCTCACAAACCCGCCAGCCAGTTCTTCATTTCAATTAGGGCAATGCTGATCGTTAGCTAACTAATAAGGACCAATTTTCTGTCACAACTATTTCCTAATTAAATTCAAAACAGAGATTTCTAACCCAGATGGTCAGCAATGCTACAGATTTGTTTAAATTTGGTATCACAGTAACAAACTACTAATTAGGGTTTGTAAATACGCCAATTCCCTTATGACTTAGTTGTTAGTAATGCATACAACCGGTTTATTAAAGCACTAATTGTGTCTGGCTTTACTTGGGCCTAACACATAATCCACTTATCACATACTGGTACCAACTCATTTTGAAGGGATTATGAATGAAATCATAAATGAGGTCTCGCATCCCTTTCCTGGTATGCTTAATAAAGGTTTGCTGTCATATTTAGATGGCATATTTAGATTTGCTGCCTCTGATGGAGAGCGGCCCCGCAGTGACGCTGGCACTCCATCCGCCAAAGCCCGTTTGACACAAAAAGTTTCTGCCCCAGCTCCATTGGGCAGCAAATTGTCCCAGCAGCCAAGCCACTCCAAAGGAGCTCTGGCACTTCCCAGAGAAAACACTGAATTGTTTATTTCTGAAGTCAAGCTCAGCCCCTCCACAGTGTTGAGGCCTCTCAGAACCCTTGTCCCTTTGCCTCATGAGCCTGGACCACCTTTCTGTAGAGGGATGGAGGGCACCAAATCCTCCTGGATTTGGAGGATTCCCTCCTGCCCCTGCAGAGGGACAGCCCTCTGGAAAGGACCCTGTTTTTGAAGGAAGGCTTTGTTCTGAGGAGCCCAAAGGGATGACACCCTACAGCCGGGGCACTGACGCCCCTCACCGCAGCGGCTTTATCAAGAGTGCACAAAGTAGGAAATAAATGATAGATAACTGTGAATTGCAAGGTTATGTAAACATGGAGGGGGTTCCAGAAGAATCCTATTAAAGCATAAAAGAAAAGCGTGGATGGTTTATCACATCACTAAGACCCAAGAATGCATTAATAAATAGAAGAATAGATAACGAATCGTGGAGTACAAGGCTAAACTATCCGCTATTGTGAGGATCCTGTGACAGTAGAAACAATGAAGGGGAAGAAAAAAGCTTTGTTGGTCTGCCATCAGAACCTTGTAGTGTATCTTTTATAGCCCATTTTTAATGAATTCACAGCACCTATCAGTTATTCTCTGCCCAAATCCCTCATTTTCCTCCCTCTTGAATGCAAATTCCCATGCTGCACTCTGCCTTCACCATGACTTCCCCCGTTAAACTCGGGGGCTCTCTGGGTTTCAATGGCCTTTCAGCCACAACCAGAACAGGTTTCTGCTTTCATATTTCCAAAGGGTTTTCAGGATGGTAACAAAAGTGGGGCTCAATGCAAAGCAGGAGTACCTCTGAGCCTTGCTGCATCCTTTGCTTCTTCTGTGACAGGAGGGTGAATGCTCAGACAGGTCTGATTCAGCCCAGAGTGATGATGCTCAGATGTGCCTGCAAGGGAAAGAAAAAACCAAATACATGAAAGCTGCTGCTCCCCTTGCTGTTTTCCAGCCCTCTGCAAATAACGCTGAGAATTGTTGGAGGGGACTTCATATTAATCCAAGAGATAGTACCCTCTTTGTGGACACTACTGAGACTCACTAACAGTTTATTTTCACTGCTCTGAGGGGGTTTTATCATTAAATAAGGGCCTGGGATACATTTACTGTAGATTACTTTTATTTTTACTACAGCATCGTTAGGTACAGAGCACTAAGGAGCCAGGGCTGACTATGACACACTCTGCAGTAAAACCCCACTGCCTCCAGCAGAATCCAAAATCCTGATGGACTTCCATGTAAAAAATCCCAAGGACTCTGTGCTGCTGTGCTGGCAGGTTGGTGTGGCACCAGCATCTTGCAGAAGCACAGCCTTGGCAAGGCTGGCAGGGGCAGAAGAGGATCTGTTAGAGATGGGCACAGCACAATGGATGCCCAAAGTTTCAGAGCTCTTTTGGTGGCAAACCCCACCTGCTGCAGGTCCCCAAACTGGGCCTAGTTTGAGGCTCACACTGGGAACTCCTTCTGCCTCCTCACCCTTCACATCCCCAGAGGATGCTGCAGGTAGGCAGGAGAAGCCAGCTGCCTTTCCTCACTCTGAGGAAATGGAATTAAAGAGACCTGACTGAGCCCCAAGCAGGGGGCAGAAATCTGGATTTGCCTTTTTCTGGACTATCCCCCCTCAAGATCCCAGCAGCTCTTGGTGCCCGTCCCACCAGCACATCCCCTGTGAGCTTCCAGGGGGTCCTGCAGGACAGCCACACCACAGGGAGGGTCCCTTGTCCCCAGAGACAGGACAGGGAGACACCTCCCCTCTCCTTTGTGGGTGCCAGAGGTGAGGCACAGGCAGGGAGCAGGCTGCCCTCCCTCCCCTCAGCCCAGAGCCTCTGCTCTGACCAGTAGGAGCAGGGAGCAGGCTGCTGCTCTCCCAGGCACACTTCAGGCCAGCGAGGAGTACAGCCGAGTGCTCAACAGGCTCTGGAAATAAGTGGAAGTCAAATAAGTTTGCCACTCTTTGTCCCCCTTTCAATATCTAGCTTTGATCAAAATCCTTGGATACTCAAGTGGTTGTTGACTTAATGTAGTAATGAGACATAGCTTTAAGTGAGGCCATTTCCGTGCCCATTCAGGCTCTCTGAGAGCAAGGGACGCAGGAGGAAAAGCCTCTCCTGGTCTCTGGGAGCTGCAGCAGAGCCCAGAGCAGAGGCAGCAGGAAGGCCTGGTGGCCACAGCTACACGAGGCACGCTTTAACATGTAACACTTCAACATCCTTTTTGTGCAACACAGCCTCGCTGGCATGGCGCTGGGTGACACCAAGAAATCCACTGAGAACACCTCCTCCAAAAGCTGCAGCAGGTGGCCAGCTCCAGAACACCACTGTCACCATTGCCTCCTCCTGGGGAGCACTGGGGAACAGGGTGGCACCATCCCAAGGACGTGGACTGGATGATCCTAAAGGGATCATAAAAAGTTCTGCGATTCCCTGGGGCAGGCTATGGACCTGAGGCAAGCAGGGAGGGAAGAGCCCAGGAGCCCTGAGAAAAGTTAAAAATTCTCCAGGTGACGGGGAGCAGCTCAGCCAATTAGGATTTTAATTCCCCTCGTTATGCACAGCCAGTCAATAAATTCTGCACCAAGCAGCTGCTCTAATTCTTAAGCCCATTAAGCCCTACATCTGATAGGCGGGCGGGAGGGGCTGCCAAGGGGCACAGACGGTGCTCCTCGAGATATGAAACATTTCCTCTTGTGCATCTGGGTCACCCCAGCCAGCCCCACTCCCAACGGGTATTTTATGGAGGCAGCGAGCAAGAATTTATAGAAATATCCTGCCAGAGACACACACACACACACACCACATACGGAGAGAATAAAGAGGTGGCTGCATGAGATGCGGGGAGGGAGCGCTGGTGCTGCGACGGAGCAGGAGAGCAGAGTCTGGGATGGAGCAGCAGGATTTGGGTGTCTGGAAACAGAGGGAGATGCTCCCAAAGAGCTGGGCAAGCAGCCAAGAGGGAAGAAAAGCAGGATCAGAGACGCAAGGAGGAAGAAAACTCCTGGAGCAGCATGGCAAGCCTGGAGAGGGCTGGCTGCCTCTGCGGTGGGAGGAGGCCAGGAGCCACAACAACAATTCCTGGAGAGAAGGGGCAGATGGCTGGATCGGAGGTATTCCCCCCACTGCAGAGATGAAAGGCAGCAGAGGAAAGGGAATACACTGGGAGTGGAAAAGCCTTTGGCAGCCAAGACGGTTTTGCTTGTTAATTGGCAACAAGCTAACACATTAATTACAAGCTAACACATTAATTACAAAGTTACTGGATGGTCAGGAAAAACACTGGCAGCGGAGCAATTCGCATTCCTCCAGAGACTGAGCAGAGCCTGCTCTAGGAACGCTGCCTCTGCCCACCCACATCCAGGATCTGAGCACCCCAAAGCCCCAGAGCCAGGCAGAACATGATCAGGGATTAAAAACCACCCCACCTTCAGCTGAGATCTCGCTCGTCTCAGATTAGCGTGAAAGATTAATTGCAGGACACGTGCAACCGGCCAAAATTTAATTTATTCTCTTTTCATCCCTTGGACACAAATTTGAAAGTAAGCTGCCCACTGCACAGCAGGAAAACACCAGCCCTACAAGGCACTGCTCCCCCTGTCAGCTCCACAGGGCCCTGGATGAGAGAGCAGCCCTTAAGCCTTGATCAAGGCAAGGGGTACAAATGAAAGTTTGCCCTCCACTGATCTCAAATGGAAGAATATTTTGCTTTTCCCTGAACCTCCCAGCAGCTGGAAGGTTGGTGCACTTTGGTTTGGATTCAAAATCTTCTTCCTGGAAGGAGCTTATGGGTTCAAAAGCTCCATTATTAGGAAGAAATTCTTCCCTGTGAGGGTGGTGAGGCAGTGGTGGAGTTTTCCCAGAGAAGCTCCATGTGTTTATTGCAACTCCTGCAAACAGCACTAATAAGTTTGCTAATAAAGGCACAGATCAGTGGCTGCTGCTGGTAAATTAATTAGGAACGGCATCACTGTGCTCTGATTAGTTGCCATCCTTCCACCTTGTAATTTTGTCACCAGCTCACATTTCAAACACCACTAGAAGCCCACTCGAGCAAGCCCATCCAGAAGGGGGGACCTGCAGTGCTGGGCTCATGCTCAGAACTGAGAGAAAATGGCTTGAAAACCTTCAGAGCTTGTCAAGGCCAGTTTATTCAAGGTAATTAATCTGTCGTTTTGAGAGCATTATGTATTTCCTGCGCAAGCCAGCTGACAACATGAGGCTGCTGCAGAAGCATCTCAGTGCAGCAGGCCCCAAGAAGCTCAGGGATCAGCCTTTCCCCTCCCAAAGCACAGCTGAAGCTGGAAATTCATGATTACGTGCATTGGCTTCTCTCCCTTGCCTGCTGGGGTTTGAACTCAAGGAATTAAGTGAAAGTTTCAATTCCAAAGCCCACTGAACACTCCAAATCCAAGGAATGCACCTCAAAGGCCTGCGGCTGCGGTGACAGGAGCCAACACTCCACATCTAGAACTGCAGCCCTCAGCTGTGGCAGCAACACAGAGGGGGCACAGAAATCTTTCTGTCACTTCTGAGTTAATAATTCAGCAGGAAATGGGGTTCCTGCAGGTCATTAGCATTAATTATTCTGCAATGCCTTGCCCCTGAGGAGAGACTGAGGACACTGTGACACACCCAGTGATGCACTGATGTACCTGCCTGTCCACCTGCAGCAGAGAGAATTTTAATTGAGTGGAACCAGAAAAGCCTTCTGAGGTTTGGGGGAACAGGCAGCAAACCCTGCCAGGGCCGTTCGGATGCTCCATGGTGCAATCCCTGGGTGCCGCCACAGCAAATGGAGATCAAAAGCAACAATAGCCTGCAATCAAGGATATCTGCATAATAGTTTTCCTGAAGGATGTTTGTGCAGGTGAGCGAGGAGTAAAGCATTGTTTCATCAAATGGTAATTTCCTTGTATCGCAGAGAATGAATCCCACTTGCTCGCCGGGGTATAATTCAATTAAAGGGAGAACCCTACGCCAGGCAATGAAATCTATCGGTTTGACTGCCATGCTGCAAATCACACCAAGCAAGAAAATGGCATTTGGTCCTGACATCATGATTTATTTCCTACTCAGTATCTTATAATTCTTACAAGATAAGCCAAGACGAGAAATTATCATGTGTGCGTGGGGGTCGCGCCTGATCCTCTTTTATTTTCCCTTCCCAACTGCAGGACTGTGTGTTTCAGCCTTATCTTTGAAGAGGCCAGTAAAATAAATGGAAATATTTCACAGAGGCCAAGCAACCCTTGCTCTGCACCCACAGCTGGCTCAGGCACCTCCAACATCCAGCCACGTCCAGCATGGGACCAGAGAGCCCCATTGCGTCTCCTCTCCCAGCCCACTCCCCTTTCCTCAGGAGGATAGAGAGGAAGGAATACTCTGCTCCATGGGGAACTCTCTCCTCTCTCCCTCCACAGGGAGAGTCCCCAGCGGCTTGGGAAGGCTGTCAGCTGTCCTGGATGAGGTCCCAGCATGGAGCCCTGCCAAGGGGAGGCTCTCTGCCTGCCAGCCTAGGGACACTGTCCGTGCCCCAGCTGTGCCCAGCCCACCTCGCCTGCCCACATTCCTCTCCCCTCCCTTGGCAGCTGCCTGTAAAGGCACCTCAGCCCATCTCCCTGGCTACCAGCAGGAATGCCCGGGCAGGGGGATGTGCTGTGGGGTTGCTGCCCTCCCCAGTGAGCGTGTCAGGAACCCTTTTCCATGGACAATCTGTGAGTTCATTGTCCACCCAATGCAGCTCAGCTCTTGGGCTGCCCATGTCACAGCCGCCCTTTGCACAGCACTGGGGGAAGCTGTGGGCAGCATCACCAGACACACTTGGCTTCCTTCAGAGAGACTTTTTTAGCTATTTGACCCTCCTCCTCCTTATTTGCTTTCAGGAATTTAAAATCTTCCC